GGAGTGACATCAGAGTGAGACAGGCCATTGGCTGGTAGGGGCAGCATGAGGAGGGGTCAGGAGTGATTTCCAGGTTTCTCTTGTATGACCAAGATTGGCTTTCATCAGCATGGTATTTAGTGATAGAAAAACAAACCAGGTTGGGAGAAAATGGTAGGTTTTAGTTTTGACACTCCTGTGGGATGTCTAAGCAGAAGCTGCTACATGTAGCCAAGGAAGGAACTCAGAGGAGAGGACTGGAGATCTGACTGGAGCTGTGGGATATCTACAGCAGCCAGCAGAAGCCTCCACAAGGCTATACAGCCCCAGGCCACCCATGCCTGGAGCCCCCAGGGTTTCGACATCTCTAGGTGATTTGTAGGAAAGACATCTTCTGTGTTTGTTTCTCAGCGGGCCTTCCAGAGGGAATCTAAAAGCTCACATTCTGATCCTCAGTGTAATTTCCAGTCACTTCCACCAACAACATTTGGTTCTTATTATCAAAAGATACTCACACAGATGCTGCATTAAAACCTTGGCTTCCACGGATAAAGAAAACAAGATAATCTGAAGTATTGCAGCAGCTCTCAGACATTTACAATTCCAAGAAATGCTTGTTGGCTAACTCTCCAGAAGATCCATTTCCAGTGTTTCTGGGTGGAAGAAGGCCAGCTGCTCAAGGCTGTCATCTGAACTTTCAGCCTGGAAGGCCGATGGGAGGAGGCATGGGCATTTCCCTCAACCTCCAGCCTCACACTCAGGGGGGCCCCCAGACAGGGCTAATCAGGGCTTGTTTACTGAGAAAAGAAACAGACCCACGCCACAAGTCATCACATGAGACGTGTTCTCATTTGATGTTCCTTACCAACAGTTCCAGAGGCTTGTTATTGGGAGGGGTGACTTTTCTGAGACAGAGATGGAAAAATATTTATGCAGAACTCATGGTTTGGACTTTAATGGGGAACTTTACCCTTCCCCCGTTAAATTTGATCTCAATGATTTTGGCTTCTTCCATGTAACATTACTGGCATGACATGCTACATGCATGAGCTCTGAATATCCCAAAATATATTTTTCATGTAACTGTGATTTAATTCTCAGAATAAGTTTAGGATGACAGTGTGCTTATTAACCCCATTTTACAAATGTGGAAACCCAGTCTTGGGACATCAAAGTCATGTTTCCAAAAGCACATGGGCAGGGAGAGGACAGAAGGTATTCGAGTGTGGGATGTGACCCTACACACCCATTTTGACACTGGGCCTGAGTCCCTGAGGCCACAGTGACCTGGGCTGGGCAGTATGCACCTTTTCACATGTCCCACCCACTACCTCATTAATGATCTGTATTTAGATGATTGACTAGGGGTCAGATACTTGGACAAAGTCATAGGAAGCTGAGAAAGTCAAACCTGGCCCCAGGGCTGGCATTCTCCATTTGGAATGGACTCTGCTCCTCTCCGTGCATCCCTAACTTATATTGTTGCAGGCAAATGACACAGCCTGCCTCAGACAAATGGGCTCCATCAAATCTTCAGTTCTGGGAACCTGAACAACTCTAGACCTTAGTGAAGTTATTACGGCGTCACTAAGCAAGGCTCAGGGAATCCCGGAGAATAGCTAAAAGAGGCTGAATGTGTAGCTAAGATCATGTGGAGGGAAGGGAGCCAGATCCTGAGACCAAAGTCTTCTGCTTCCATTCTGTTCATCTCATGCACACAGTTGGCATGAAACTCAAGCAGCTTTTCTCCTACCCCAGGGCTTGCTTGCCTAGCAAATTTCAGCTGAGTCTGGGGAAGCCTCCTTTTTCCTATGTGCTTGGTGCCTCAGTGACCAGCCAGCTTCCCACACCACCCAGCCAGACCCATCACTTGGATGGCCAACTTGTAGCCCTTGAGTGGAGGTTGGACTCCTAGAAAACAGACACATGGTCCTGGGAAAGACACCAATGCTCAGACTCATGGGAATGACAGGTTTTTCCTGGGTCAGGCTCAGGAGAATGGCAAGGTCTTGCCCTCGTTCAAGTAGAGATGATGACGGTATATTCAGAAAGTAACAACCACAGTTTCCTCTTCCCCAAGACAGCTTCTGACATTTATCTGAGTTACTCGTAAAAACATCAAAACCACTCTCAGACATTTTATGGGCTTATTTGAGTTGGATCTTGCCCATGTATTTGTTTATTTCTGCCCCTCTGCTCTCCAGTCTATATGTCATTTCTTACCCTCGCCCTAATTTTTGGGTGTGAACCTAGGGCATTTTACATGCTAAGAGCTCTCCCACTGTGGTGATTTGAATGAGAACGGCCCCCATAGGCTCAGATATTTGAATACTTTGTCCCCAGTTGGTGGAGCTGTATGGGAAGGTTTTGGAGGTGTGGCTTTGCTGGAAGAAGTATGTCACTGGGGGTGGGCTTTGAGGTTTCAAAAGCCAAGCACTGTTTTTTGAGTTAGTGGTTTTTGCTTGCTGATTGTGATTTAAGATGTGAGCCCTCAGCATCCTAATCAAGCCTGCTGCTTGTTGTTATGCTTCCCTGCCATATTGGGCTCTTACTCCTCTGGTACCATGCGCCCAAATACACCTTTCCTTCTATGAGTTGCCTTGGTTATGGCATTTTGTCACAGCAACAGAAAAGTAACTAATACATTCACTGAGCTCCATCCCAGAGCTCTTAATTGCTACAGCCAGGGGCATAGCACTGTGCCTGCCACAGCATGAGCTTTCTATAGGCACATGTCAGATGAATGAAAAATGGTCCCTCCTTCTAGAGTGTGAGCTCTCTGGAGCAGCAGTCCCATGTATAAAACAAATTTCGGTGTGTCTCATCTGTATGGGCGAGACACCTTGACCTAAGCCAACATCTGCCTAATCTCTTCACTTGCATACCCATTCCTCCCCTGTAAACACACATTCTTTCTCAAGCCACTATAACCACAGAGCATGAAGGGACCAGCTTCCCTTTTGGCAGCCATAACGGCCGAACACTTGCTTCTATGACCTTGTCCTAGACACTAGAAAGTCAGATGCCTGCCTCGTGACAAGGAACCAATCAGAAGTTAGCTGGTGGCGCTATGCTTTACGACCCTGGGTGTGCTTTATGGACAAGCGCACAGCAATGACGCACAAAGCATAGCAACCACCCTGGGAGGGCCTATG